TCCTTCTGCTTAAAAATGCATGAGTCTCCTGAGTTGTCCCTGTTGTGGCAAGCCAGAACAGTCCCGTGTGCCAGATCTGCTTTAAGATCATGTTGCTTTTCAAAGTACCATCAAAGCTTCTAGTAGCCACCCTGAAATCTTGTAAAACAGAGTGAGTATCCAAAGGTGCAGATCCAAACCCTTGAGGGTCAAGTCTTTCTTACCCTTTGGAAGCTGAGATAGTCCCTCACAGTACTGAACTCTAAGAGATCCAATATAGCAAGTCAAATTTACTGGTTTTCCCCAGAAAAGTGCTCACAGAATCTTACTGTTTTGCCCAAACTCTGTCCTTTTAAAAAAAAAAAAGTTATTTTCATTCACCCCAAAAGATACAGATGCTGAAAGCATGTTGCTGTTTGGGTTCCCAACTCTAGTATTTTTTTAATGCACACCTGTGTGGGATTTGTGCTGCTTCTGAGGCCTCGTTTTACTCCTCTGCAAGTAGAGACAGTGAAACACTTCACTCCTAGTCATCTTCTCTGTGGCTCTAGGTGTCTGCCCACCACATTAACTCTAGTTTCATCCAGAATAACACTTATTCTTGCCACATGGTAATTTGGGCATGGAATTACATTTTCCTTTCATCTTTGCAAAATTGTGTGAGGTTTTTTTTATGGTTTGCTTTATGGGTGCTACTGTTTTCCCGCTTTCTTTTGTGTTTGTAGAGTAACAGAAGTCCTAAATCTATTCTCTGCTTAATTTTACAAGAATATGGTGACCTTTCCTGTAAAAACAGAATTGGATGTACTTTCCTTAGGCAACTTGCCCGCACAGTAGACACACATGCATACGCGCGCACAGCTCCCTCGTAAGCTCATTCTGTCAAGTCCTCCCTCTGTAAATTAGATCCCCGGTGGGTCCTTCTGCTATGGACAAACCCATTAAAAAGACCATCCAGCATTTTCCTTCGTTTGACACAAGCGTATTACAGTATGTCATCTCGCGTCTGCAGACAAGGTGGAGATGACTATCTGGCTGCATTTGTCATGGTTATCCTGTGGCGAGTTGTCACTTGAAGGTCATTTTAATGTCCGTTCTATTAGAGGCATGTCAGTGACGAAGGTGGTCTCAAATCCGTCTGTCTCAAGAAATCTGTAGGTCAACAGAAATGGGATTAACTATACAGACCTATCATTTTCCAGGTTTTGTGGTTGTGTTTGCCTTTTGTTTGTTTGTTTGCTACCGTCTGTTTCTGGATGGTGAGCTCCAGCCTCCTGCTCCTCTGCTCTTTGTTCTCTTGTACTTGCTGCTCCCTGTTTCTAGTCTGTGTTTCTGTGTTGCCCTGTTGAAGTGGATGAAACATTTGTCTTCAGTGGAAGTGGGATCAGTCGTGTGCACTAAATGGAGATAGTCTCCCCCCCCTCCCCAGGATCGTAAGCTTCTGTTGTATATTTTCTGGCACCAGCCATACGTCATTGGAAAGAGAAACTGGGGTCACTTCCTGGAAGGTAATGGTAAAAACCAGGACTTCGTTCTGAGGTTAGGGAGGTGATAATATTAGTAATGAAAAAGAAGTCCATAAATAACAGAATGAAGTCTGATGTTTTTTCCTGGGGTTTTGTCCTGTGGACAGATTCTCTGGTGAGTGATAAATTCTGTGACCTGATAGTGACTGAAGCTCCTCTGCATCCGCGATAGTCTCTGAATTGTCCTGTGGGACCCTCGGGGAAGAAGAGTGCGTCCTTCTTCCTCTGTGTTCACCAATCTGCACAAAATATCTAGAAAATACTGATGTGCTATCACATCTGCTTGAAATTGGCCAACAGATCTGAGTGATGTTTGGGAGGACAAACATGGGAGAGGAGAGTGGTTGTCTGCATACACAGTGTTTTCCTTTGGAGCGACCTGTTACAGAAAGGCAGGCTGTTTAACTGGGGATAATACATCAGCATTGACCTCTGCTTCTCTGCTCATCTCCTCCTGAAAAGAGGACTGATCCCTTTAATTATGAGGCAGAAGCAGAAATAAGGAGTCTATGGGGGTATCGGTACTATGGCTCGGGTACTAAATATGTAGTGTTTCTGTTTGGGGTGTTGCTGTGTTTGACTAAAACTAAAGTGTTGTCTCACAAGGAGGGACGCTCATGTTGAGGTCCCTTCAAAAACACCAAGGATCAGGAATTGCTGAGCAGCCTCTGGGAAGGGTGGATGAGTCCTGTGAGGTGTGCGCTCGTACAGGGCTAACGACCGCATCATGCTGTGCCGCTGGCCTGATTGATGCAGGTCAAAGGTGTGAAATGTCACTCTCTTTCGGAAATACCTTCAATGTGAACCATGCTGTAGGGGCTGTGGGAAATATTTTAATTTATTTTTACCACACTAGAAAAAATCAGCCCCTTAGTTCGTAGTACCCCAATGAGGCCAAGAGCAAGCTGGTGGAGCAAGCTGGTTAATTTGGCCTTTAACAAGTCATTCAACGTCTTGGCTTGTAGTCTGCTGTGCTACAGTCATGCGCTGAAGCTTCATTTTAATACAGAGTTTACTCAGAGGAAACAAAGCGCTGCAGAGGACTGATGTTGGTCTTCAGCGGGTCAAGGGACGGCAGCCAGCTTCCGTACGTTCCTGGGGAGTGCAGGGTGGCCCCGGCCAGTGCTTTTAAGGCCATGAAGGGTATTCACGTACTGGAAATGTGTCGGTTCAGAGAAATCGGGCAGAGAGGAATGATGAGTAAGTGTGTGCCTCTGAGCACTAGTACTAATGCTAACTTCACCTCGGGGAATGCTCCTAGGTTGGGATTTTCAGCGATAGGGTCCTCTGGGATGTTTTGTCATACAGATCTGACTGTAGCATGTATGGGGCTGGAGGGCACTGGCATTTCTTGTTGCCTTCCAGCAAGCAATAGCTCTAGCATGCCTCCTCCATGAGGTGATAGTTACAAGGGTGGTTTGAGAGAAGACAGATTTAGCATTCTTCTGTTCTTACCCCCCCCGCGTGATTCCCGCTGAAAGAAACACTAGTGAGCCAGAAAGCCCTCTGTGCATGTGCAGTCAGCTTTGGGCCAAATTCAGCCCTTCCGTAAGGTCTCATCGAGGTCATGAATGTTGCAGCAGGGCTGCGTTTCAGCAAGGATTAATTTTGATCTTGAGGGACATTGCAGCAAAGCAGGATAAACCATCAAAGGAATTTAAAGCATTTTATGGTGGTTTTAGCATTGTGGTTGCTAGTCAGAACATACAGTGACCTAGTTCATAACGACTTGGGCTACCAGTGCTCTAGCTAGTGCTCAGTTTAGCTAAAGCTAGGAAATTCTTTCCATTTAACCCCTTTTCAAAAGGTATTTGAGACAAATGCTTGTCTCAAAACAATGAATTGTTTTGGATCTCCTCCTGGAAGGCTTGATGGGGAAATACAAAAGCTCTTTCCTCTCCTGGACTGGTGGACAACTGTACAAAATAGCACTCATCGCCCTAGCAGGTCTGCTAAAAACGTAAGGTTTAAAACTTAGCATCACTTGTATTCCTCACGGAGAACTTCTCTTTGGGAAGTAACATCACCTTGCAGTCTGGGTGAGAGCAAGACACTTTCTGTCACCATCCATCATGGGAAAGCTTTGCACTTCCGTACAGACCAAGGAATCATTGCAAGGTGAGTTCAGCATAGAAGGGTAATTGTGTTACAAGATGAAATAATGCGAGTGCTTTTGTGTAGCAGAGCCTTCAGCTCAACTCCAGAGGTTCTGACATGTCAGGGAAGTTGCTTAATCAGGTCATATGTTAACAGGTCACTAGCTTGGGTATGTGGCATGGATGTTTACCGTAGTCCTGATGCAAACATCCCTCCTTATTTTGCAATCTGGTAAGTAAGTGAAGGTTTTTAGAGCTCAGATAAAGATTGCACAAATTGCAGTGCAAAGAGCAGCACCAGCTGCAAGGTAGTGATACTTCTCTTGGGCCTGACTCTGGAACATTTTCTGTAATCCCAGACTTGGTGTAACTGTGGTGAGACACACAGGTGGTGGTCGTTTCACAAAATACTGCCACAGTGCTGATTCAGGTGAGTGGAGGAACATCAGTGGGAAGTATAGAAGTCTGCTATCAGTTTTGCCTTCTAAACATCTCCAGTGTTGAATTGCAGTCTTCTAAGTTAAAGTCCTTTTTTGTATTTACAAACCTCTGAGACCAAGCATCTACAGAAATAAGCAAAACAAGAATCTCACTCTGGCATAAGGGAAAGCATAAGAGAAATGGATTGCTATGACCATGAAAATTTAAAGTTGCTACTCTTAAGACTGCTCCGAATACTTAAACTGACTGGTGCAGTCCCAGATTTGTGAGTCAGATTTGTGCTGGTTTAATTTCCCCAACAGATGAAAACTTGTGCAAGATTGAGGCTGTACTAGATAAACCATTTTCTGCAGTAACTTACTTTCAAGAGGAAGCGTGTAGCCCATACTGGTCATCTTGCACAGTATCCTCATCTGAAAGGAACAAATCTGTGTTCTCCAACAAGTATCTTTTCCGTAGTGTCTCTAGCTTACTGGGAAACTCCAGTTCTGCCTAGTTTAGTGTGTTTCTGTTCTAACTTCTCTCTTCCAACTGTTCTGCTCCTTTTGGATACTGAAAGTGATACAGTATCTCTGTATCACAGCCACCTGTGAAAGGCAACAGGTGACCTTCCTCAACAGGCAGCTGTCAGTGTCACAGGACTATCACCTGTTTGATGTCACTGCTGAGACATGTCTCCATAGGGTGCAGGCTGTCCTACAGACTCCCTGTCTAAAAAGCAGTGAGGTCTTCCATCACGTTATCTTGTGGTAAATTAGAGTTTTTCTATGCAAAAGAAAACTTACCCTGCCTGCTACCAGTGAAGATGAGGAATTGGGCAACATCTGCTTCATCTTGCAGTGAGCATGAAGGAGTTCTGAATCACTTGAGGATTGCATTCCGCCCAGCAGACTCTACACCTCCTGCTTTCCTGATCACCTACTGCCCCCCCATGTATACTTTCACTGTGTCAAATATATCCAGCAGATTTTAAACACTTTATTTAATAAAAGTTAAACATACAAAACTGAAATTAACACACTTCGTATTCATAAAAATCACCTTCTCCCATTATAGGGAGAACCTTTTTCTATGTATGGATTCTAAACTACTAGTTGTAGAGTTTAGCTTGAGTTGTGACTCAGGTAACTGATGGACATTTCCACCAATCAGTGCATCAACAATTGCTGACGTGACCTGATCTAGTTAACAAATTACAAAATGAGCTACATTAACATAATATACAGGGAAATAATGGTCAGGGTTAATGGACAAGAAACACCCTTTAATTATTTAATGGGGAAACACCTGATGTACTCTTGTCCATTAACTCAGCCCTAGATTTTACAAAAATAATATCTACATTGTATACAGGGCTACCCATTAACTTCTTTAAACACATTAGGGATCCAGAGATGGCACCACTACCGTAAGTGAGAGACAAGTAACAGAGGAAAGCAAATCACATAAAATACAAGAAAGCAAGAGCTTTTACACGTGGTTTCCTGAATAAAATCGAAGGGGCTCAGCAGCACTGTAATAGAGCTGAACTTACAATGAACACTAGGGCCAGTCAATTATTTAAGGACAGAAACTTGAGACTAACCTTTACTCACTCACAACTAACTAAGTGGGATCTCGGCATTCCTATCTGCTGTGCTGCAGTTCTACTTGACTGGATGGAGGAGGCCCAGACGCAAGCTGTTACGGTGTATTCCAGGTCTGTGAGCGTACCATCAAACCTGCAAGATCTGCAAGGGGGGAGATGATGGCTCCTTTCCAAAGCACAACCACTTATGTTCTCCAACTCTCTCATCCTTGGGGAGGGCTGGGGTGGGTGTTTTTATGTACAGTTCTCTACTTTGAAATTGGAGGTTAAATACCTTGTCCTATGGTTTTCTGGTTACATTTCAACAACCTTTCAATAGCCTTTTATTAAAATTCGATGAGTGTTTAAAAAAAAAGAATCTCCTTTGCTTAACTTCTAGCACAGGAAATTCAGACTGGAATTGAAGTCAGATTTATTGTTTCTAGCACATGAATTGTCATTAGTAATAAAGATCCTATCGGCCCTGTTCTGCCCTCATTTACAGCTGTACAAATTGATCTTCAGTGGATTTGTAAGGGAGTAACTTAGAACTTCCTCAGCAATTCCATGTGACGTATAAGCTATGATGGAGTCCAGCTCCCTCTCGCAGAGCTGCAGCGAGCCGGCTCTGTAATGCTGAGCTTGTCGCTGAGACAGCACAGGCAGCACAGGCAGCACTGTGACTACAGAAACGAGGGAGGCTGTTAAGGTGCCATTTTTATACCACCACTTTTCTTAAGGAAAAAAAAAAACTTCACTACTAGTATGAATGGAAGATTCCAGAGATCAAAGCTGCAGATAACTACTGCTTTCAGAGTAACAGGTAACAGCAGTTCATGAAAGCATTTACCTGCAGAATGTATTTTAATGCAACTACAAAAAGTTTTAATGATTAGGGAGGTCAAATCAATAGCTGGAGATTTAAGGCTCGTATCAGCTGAAGCCAAAGTGATGGTGACAAAATGGACTACTCGCTATGTGCCAACAAATAATTTACTTTTAGAAAAATATAATGATAAAAAGATAAGTGTAAAGCCCTGCAGAGATGAAGTTCCACCTTTTTCCCCTGTTACTGAGGCATCAGATGCCTGACATTATATTTAGAGGTATCTTGATACTGTGTCATAGGTTTGTCTGCAATTCCACACGTTCCAACTCCAACCTTGCCAGTTACACTCTCAGGGGAAGCAAAAATACTCCTCTTTACCTGCAAATGAAACAGAAAACACCATTTCTGAATAATTACTAACTTGCTCTTAAAAAAAACCCCAAGCAATCATTACCGTTTGAAGGGTTTCAACATCCTCAACTTCTTACTCCATAGACAGGCACGCTTTCTCAAGGCTAGCTCATCTGTGGCACATCATCAGCGGGTGAGACAACAGAGCTGGGAACATCCTGGCACCTAAGTGCTGGATGTGACTGTGGTACTCGGGACCTTGGGTCAGGCCAATAATGAATAAAATTCACCTCTCATAAGATGATCTCTAATAATTGTTCATAAGGAAGACTGAAGTTTTACCACTATGTCTGGCACCTCTTGGTCAAGCCACGATAAAAATGAAGTAAGGCTTTAAAATGTCCTCGCTACCTTTTTTGCACTACGCTTGCTATTCCAGGGCAATTACCTAGTGCTGTGTCTGCCAGGTCATAAACACGGCAAGAAGTCAGGCTTGGAGGTTTAGACAGGCCCTCAGGTTCTAAGCTCCAGCAAACGCTACCAGGCAACTGACAGTGAGCCCAGCTCTCCAAGCTAAGTGCAAGCTCAGCCTCTTAAGAGTAGCACTCCTCCAAAATCATCCAGTACAAAACCAGGCCTTTTAAGCGTACAAAATACCAAACCGCACACTTCAGAATCCCAAAGATGAACCCCCTTTAAATCCCTTTAAAAACCACTTCCTCCTCTCTCCCAAAGTACTGCACAGAATTCTATGCCCTGTTGTTATTCACATACTGACAAAACCGAACCAACCTGGCCTTTTTTGTTTTTAGAATAGGCTCTGTTGTTAAACTGTTGCCACTTGACTTTCTGGTCCTCTCGTTCCTGTTCAAGTTCTTTAATTCTCTGAGCTTTTTTCAAAGCTTTCTTCTTTTTATACTCTCGTTGCTGGGCTATCATCTCTTTTCTGGAGAGAAGGAAAAAAGACATTTTATGTCTGTGCCTTTTCCTGTAAGAAACTAAAACCCCCGTAAGACAGACATGCACAATAGTTTTCCATAAGTAAATGACAGAAAACAAAGCCAGTAAACATTCTCCACTTCTAGGAAAAAAAAAAAACAAAACAAGTCTTTCCATGCATAAGCATTACATTGTTTATTTATGTATTTGGGCATAAGAACAACAACCACCACCACCACCTGACTAAGACCAAGCCAAACACAGCAACCCATGGGATTGAGTGCAATTCATTTCTGAAACTGAAAGTGTACCTATCAGCACTTCCACATTTCAGAAACATCTAGGGTTTGGAAAATTTAAATAGCCCATTCGAGTGAAAAGCCCAAACTTTTTGGAGGTCTGCAGGACTCCCGTGCTACCAAGTATTGGACAGGGATGGAAGGAAAAGAACAAAGATAAGTTACTTCAGTAAAGATAAGGAAGTTCAAGGAGTTGATCTATGCCACAGTGCAGCGTCCCTCAGGATGACCCCTTAGGGAAGGGATCGCTGGCTGTAGGGAAGGGATCACTGGCTGTAACAAACTCTGAAAATTGTACCACCTTTTTTTTTTCTTCTTCCCCCCCAAAAAAGTTTCAGCCCTTAAAAATACCTTTCTATGTTAGACACAGTAGGATATTCAGTAAAGCACATCTCCCCAGCAAAAGGGTCAACACAGCTACCCTACACAGGGATGGGGCAGAAGTCCTTCGTGCTGGGAAGTACACTGTTGTGGGCCAGATCACAGACCTGAGTAGAGCTTGCGCTAGATCTGGGCTGAAACTTGTAGGCTCTCTGCTGTCAATGAAAGAGAACCAGCTTTTTTTTTTTAAATCTACTGCTTACATACTTGATATCTTGAAATAGCATAATCTGAGTAAAACAAAGTCTATCACGTTATCTTGCCAGGATACATAACACACATGATACCAGCCACAATAATCTACCAAACATTATGCGCTAGATTGATTGAAGATCCTTTTTCAAGCAAATGTGAAGATACTAAAGATATATAAAATTTCAAAAATTAGAGATTCTATTTAATTAACCAATTTTTATAGCTGGGGGGAAAAAAAACAAAACAAAGCAGCTTTCAGACTTCTGCCTGTGTGTTACTTACTTGGACATGGGTTTGTTGCCACTGTCCTCTTTTGCTTTTCTCCCCTCTTCCACAGGCTTGAGGTTGAACAGAGGTGTAACTTCAGCATTGCCATATCCAGCAAATGTGACCGCAGCTGTTCCATTCTCCTCATCTATTTCTTCAATCTCAGCTTCATAACACCTGTAAAGATATCATGGCTGTAAGCATGTGAGTAAAGCTTTAATACTCAGCCCTTCAACACCTACACTGTCAACCAGCTAATGGCATTAAGTAAAAAACTTGCAAATATCGGCTTTCATTTTCAGGGACAATACACAAATCAAACCAAGAGATTATTTGCTAAGGTCAAAGGGACACAAGTACAAAGACTGGAATCTGCTGTATTTGACCTTTAGCATCAAGAAGCAATGGCCTCACAGTTATCAAAACTAATGATTAATGCTGGGGCCAATGTAATCAGATATCCTGATTTGGTTCTAGTTCTGGCAGGTCATGCGATTGAAAAAGATGACCCAACAAAATCCTGCATTCACAGAACACAGCTTTCAGGGAATTCACCGAGGAGTTTTGGAAAATATCAGCTCACAAGAGCAAAGCTTTGGTTCCATTTTTCTCCATATGAAGAAGAATTAAGGAAAACTGAAGCTTTCAAAATATTCCCCCTTCAACACTTAAATTTGAAAGTTTTCCTATTGATTTAAAATAGCAATTTTGAAATTTTAGCAGAAATCAGTCCATTTCATATTTGTGTGTGTGAAACATTTTGGTCAACCAAACTGACCTCATGATGGGAAAGAGGAAAAAGGACAAGTGACATTTCCAAAAATATTTAAAATAATTGAGTCTAAATTCAGAGCAAAAGGATACATCAAAAGCAAATAGAGGAATAAAATGAGATGTTTTATAGACAATATTCCCGTTAACATTTACTAAATTAATTTCTTGTGCAATTTTAGTGGGCCAACAACATCTTGAATTGAGCTAGATGAAAATATATGGAAACCCAAACTGCATGAGGTAAAAAATATTAATCTCTGGCTAGCTCTTCATGAAACACTGGTCACTTAAATGTTGTAACAGAAGCAGGGGGTTAAAAAAAAAAAGCAATACAATTAAAGTCCAATAAGATCCACTTCAGTGGACACTGGCACATTCCTCCCCAAGCTCTAATCCTCTAACCCAGTGATAAGAGCAAGAAGAATGACCCAATGGTGACCTAAGACAGCAAGATTCAATTTTTAAGTTCTTAGACAAAAACATTTCACTCAATAATCTGTGACAGAAAGACTGTTCACTTTTAGGTTTGTTTTCTAGCTAAGACATCAATAGCTATACCAAAATCTCTATGTGGTTACCACATTGTTAAGAGAACCACATTCATTGAACAACAGAGCTCCTCTCTAAGTGGTAATGATTGGGATATTAGTCCTGCACAAATAGTAATTTTTAAAAAGCTGCAACAGTTATACATTTTGCAGTATGCAAAGTAATTTTAGAATGTTTATTTCAAAGATTATGAAGTCAGAATGAACTGCTTGGGTTCCCAGAACTTCACAGGCTAATGTAATGGAGACTAAATCCAAAAGGTTGATTCATTCTATAGTTGCGTTACACAGCTAGTTATTTCACAGCCAAGAAACAGCATTTCCAATTAAAAATTAATTTCCAATTAGTGGCACAAACTGAGATGCAGCAAGGATTTTTCTTGATAGCAATTACATATATATATGAATGCAATGACAAATTATGAATTATACATCCTGAAACCTTTACGAAAGACTGCTCTGACAGATCAATTCATGAAAGTCTGCCATTTATTACATTAGCAAATGGTAATTTACCAAAGCTACCCTACTTTTATAAGGTTAGTGACAAACAGGGCATTTCTAGAAAATGACCCCACATCTCTCTGCTTTTTTATCTAAAATACTGACCTTTAATAACGAGAGTACAAGAATGCCTAATATCATATTTCTTTCCAAATTTCTTTTTGCTTTTAGTCACCCTAGGGGCAGTTCAAACTGAATGAAAGTCTCTTACCATTGAACTATTTCATGTAACTGTTAGAGAAGTTTTCTACACTTACTGTCCATCCTCACTCCATATCGCCATACACCTATCCCCAACCTTCCAGGAGTGACTAGGCAGAGCAGAAGCAGAACTGTCAGAACTTGCAAGAGTTTCTGAAGGTTGTGTTGAAAGGAGATCTTTGGTTAATTCTATGACTTCCTATAAAAGACAAAAAACCCACAAAGAATAATTTTTCAAACTCTGTTACATGCATATTCTTACCCCAGGCTTACTGGTTTGGTTTTTTGGAAGTTACTGTATTAAATTCATAGCTGATGTAAAGTGGACTAAGTTTGTTTTGGTTTTTTAATCATTTAACTAAACTCACTCATTGCCAAAGTAGATAAAAAGCTGTATGGTCCTTGCTGTATTGCAGCAGAGTTTCCCATGCCCTCCTCAAAATTTCAAGTAGCCGCCTATTATTTTTATAGCATTTCTTTCTACATGAATTGTTTATCCATAGGCAGAAAGACACAGCTAGACAGTCTCAAGAAAAAACAAAAAATCAACAGTGTGACTCTCTACACACGGCTGCATATGCTGCTGGTTATCGACCAAAAAAAAAAAATATCACATAACATGTGGCAGAGCAAGTATTCAGTAGGACAGTAGTGCTCTGAAGACAAAACGTGAAACGACGTAATGCTTTTATTCTTTCTCTAGCTGGCAGTTTCTTTCACCCCTTCCCATTTGGGACTGGCTGCCTGTATTATATATAGTAATCTATAAAACACACAACAGCTACAAGTTTAAGTGCAGCATTTCTAAGTGATGAAACATATTTCGGTTTACTCAAACATAGGTGGATTGGCTGAACTGAAGCCCCAGAGCCAGGGTGGAAGACTGCCTTCCAGGACTGCCACTCTGTAAGCCCTCTCCTTTATAGAAAGCACTTGGATGCATAATAAAGAAATTTATTTCCTTACGTCATTTTGATGTAAGTGTTTGTTTTTCTCTAAATTCCCTGACCTTAAGATTTCAGGTCAGGCCTTCCCTTGCTAATCCAACAAGACAAATAACAAATTTTTCCAGTTCCTTTAAATATTATTCATTCACAGACAGGAGCATGCAAAAAACCCTCCCCAACTTCCTGTCAATGTTATATTCTTACTCTGCGCAGTCAAGACCACTAGTTTTCACCTGTGTTAAAAGTCAAAGGAGCCAACACCTAAAAGGCCATTTAAACTTTCTGTATAAGGCAAAGCAACTCCGCAGTCCTCGAAGAAAAATTCTTCAGTTCTTTGAGTATCTCAGCATGAACCATTGTCACTCTCCTAACTAACAGTAAATATTTAAATTAGGGGAGAGTTACAGATAAACAACATTCAACTGAGGCTCAGTGGAGCCCGAACTTTCCTCCCGGTTTCAGATCCTAGTTCAGCTACGGATGTAGCTCAGGAAAAAGTGGTAAAGAAGCTGTTCTTCATTCCTCAAGAACCTAAAGGATCATAAGCAGTTCCCAAATAAGAAGTTAATACAATTATAAACTTACATGCGTTTTTATCTGATAAACTATACAACTGGCATGAATGGCCTAACAATTTGTTTCTGTTGCAGCTGTTAACGTCTGAATTTCCAACATCTCCCTAACAAAAGTTCTGCTCTTTGTTTTAGAGGAGCTGCTAGTTAATAAGCGCAGCAGTAAGCACAATCAGTAGCAACTGTAAGCAGAGAAACATGCATACAGTTACTTCTACTACATTGGTTTCCATTTTCTGTAATACTACAGCTGAACCAGAACAGATTTTGATTATCAAGTTAATTTGAGAGCGCTCCGCAGAACATAGACCATTAGCCTAATTTTCCCTCCCAGGTGCAAAATCCCAAACTATTCCTCAACATATAGATAGCTGTATTCTGCAAATCCAAGAGGCAACATGGTTTGAAACAGGTATCTTATCTCAACAGGTCAAATAGATCACATCAGGCACAAGCTACCCGAAAGCGAGTATTTCAGCGATGTAGACTACCGGTAATACAAAACTGTTGACTTATTCTTGCCACATTCATAAATGGCTTATTGTAGAACTCCAGTGCGAATAGTTTCAGACAAGTCTACCAAGGATTCTTTGAATTTGATAGATTCACTTACACACCAGGCTATAAATAGCAAACTTTTGGTAAAATCTTCATCTGATATCTACATATCATAGTGCTAAGCACACAAGATAGAAACATTTATTTTATTGCAACCCATGTCTTTTACGGAATAGCTCATTCAAAGAAAATTTCTGAGCACACGTTAGACTACCACAGCAGCTCAATAGGGCCACATGGGTTGAACATTGTGGCTTGCTGCCACATTCCCATGACATGAAGGTGTGACCCGCAGAGTTAGAGTTTGCCAAGATTTTTCCTGACCAACTGGTCTTTACAAAGCCAGACAGAGATCTACGCTCCAGAACGCAACACCCACAGATATCATCTCCAATTACAGGAGATGACAGCTGCCATCAACTCTACTTGGTACAAAAGGTAAGTTTGGTCCTTGGGTGCACAGACACTGTCCTAGAAGCGCTTCAGTGAAACAAAAGGTGAAAAGCGAAGTATTTATAAAAAATTCTTGTAACATTTATTTTAATCTTGTTACTCAGGAATGAGCCGAGTATACGAAATGCAGTAGTGCATCACTATTTATGACAGAAAAAAGTGTTTCAATTACATTGTAACAATTTTTCTGAACTAATTTGAAAGCTACTTAGTTGGGACCCTGAAGCATCGAGCCCATTTTTACAATTGTTAGGTTGGCATCTATTAAGTCTGCAAAACATTGTATCATTTTCAAGGTGGAACATATGGATAGCAAACCTTTTGGGGACGAAAGTGTAAAGATCTTCCCCATTCTGTGCAGAAAGCTTTTATAAAAAAGTTTGCAAGTTGTCCTTTCACATCAATGATCTCTGCATATCAAAGCCGAGGTCGTGTTGGTATCGGAAATATCATCCCATATGGGTTTTGCTGTGCATTTTAAAAATATAAAAATATACACATGCTTTTAACAGTGTACAACGAAGGACATTAAGATGATCTATAAAGTGCCTTGTGGGCACAAAGCCTTTGTAATTTAAAATGAATTCTAAAGATCACTGATTTGAGGCACTACTCGTATTTTGGTTGAAGCATCATTTTTATGGCTGTTTTTTCCATACATAATAGCGGCTACTGAATCTTGTACTGGGTAGTTTTATATATTTTTAGATCTGATCGCAATCCACAACAGAAATGAAGCAGCATCTTGCACTCTCATGACAAATTTTAACAGTACTGATAGTTTTTTTAGTATGTCTTTATATGCACAAGAATCTAAAAGACCACTTATCAACTTAAAATTAGGCTGGTGGTCTTCCTGTCACCAAACAATACCAAATAAGGACCAGACATGGTTTTTAGCTCTTAAGAATGCGGTATGCTCTCAAATGTTTAAAAAACTGCAGGTGGCAAATGAAGAACACGACTCTCCTCCTTTCTTTTACAAAAACCAGCCAAGGCTTAGAGGTACAAGGAATACAGAACTACACTCTAAAGTTTTTATCATTGCAAATGCATGCAATGAATAAACAGATTCCGGATCAAATGATTTGACAACTCAAAAATAAGCAGAAAGGCATAATGTTAAGCCCAACCATCAGGCTTCAGCATAGTGATAGCAACAAAAAATAATGACTTTCTGAGAAATGCTTTAAAAAAAAAAAAAAAGAAAAAGAGATAGTAAAGACAGCACTGGCTTATCTTTCATCGCTCGGGCTAAAGTTTTTAGCAGAAGAGTTTGCAATATAAATTAGTACATCTTTTTTACTGATCTACAAGACAGGTTTAGAATAGGCCACACTTTGGGTTTTTTCAAACCAACCCTACCATAATTGTATCAAATTATGTGAAAAGAAAGTAATAAACCCACCAAGCATATATTTTTGTTGCAAGGCAAATATTTAGGAAAGATGAAACACCTGCTAAAGACCCCAAAGTTTTAGCTACTCATACCCTCACAAGTTCTCACCTGTAAGTCTTTCTTCAGTTTTAGTAAATCTTCGTTTTCTGCATTCCCAGATAGGGCAGCCTCAACTTGCTGAAGCTGAGCTTTGTAGCTAGCTAACTGCTTAGCAAGGTCTTCTGACATCTGCAAGATACATACACACACCCCACATCAAAACAACAGGTTTGCTGCTTCTTAATCCACGTCTTGTGGTGCAAGTAAAGTGAAATTGATAAATAACGTGAAAAGCTATTATAAAATATTAAAAATACAACTCACTAAGTTTCGATAACGCACTATTTGACTATAGATAGACGCTCACCTTCATTTTTGCACTGTTCAACTACTCCCAAGCAGCTTCTAAAAGAGAAAGCTTAAGCACGGCGTGCCTGTGTGCGTGCACAGGGAAAACACGTAACTTACAGCACGTAAGCAGCGGTGTCTTTAGGCAGCCTCGAAATTACCCACGTCTTTATAAGACTACCGCGCACTACAGTTCCTCCCCTCTGGTCGCCACAAGCTGTAACCTTCACGGTTACAGCAGAGAAATCCTCTGCGGC